TGCTTTTCTGTTCACTGATTCTATATAAACATCTGTATTGAAGGATTTATTAATTTTATTCATACACCACAGGGATACTTTCAAGCACATGAAAGAACACAGTGTGAAAACAAACCAGTGCAAACAAGAGCACTGCTTCTAGCTAACATCTTACACACAGTGACTTCATGGATGTCTGGCAACTGCTGTAACATTCATCTGTTTCTTCCTATTACCTCATGTATTACAATTTGCTTCAATGAAAACAAATGTGTTCAATAGAACCTTAATATTTACCACAAGTATTTGTCCCCAGTCCTTGGCAGCTATCGACAGGAAAGTTACTTAGCTCATTCTGAGATCTCAGTTTGTCTTTTAAAGACTTTTACCTGTGTATCACCTTTAGAAATTGTGCCATTGTCAACACCTAGAACATAAATGCCTTTCTATTTCTTTTCCTTTTTCCTTGCTAAAAATGTTATACTTCAAATGTATCTGCTATTATTCCCACTATACTCTCAATATCCATATCTACAGGGTTTTGTACTGCACCTACTTCATTCCAACTGTGCAATCATGACATTAGGAATACAGTTAGTTTCTTCCTTCTCCTTTAGTGTATCACATATATGAACACACAACCCTCTTTTCCCTCTTTTCTCAGTTCTCCTTCTTTCTCTTTCCAGTTTAAGAAACAGGTGTTTAGGAAATCCCTGGAAAGTGTGTCAAAGGGTATCTCATATCATCTCATATATAAAGAGAATAATGTTTCAAAAACTGGTGTAGCTTTTCTTTGAAGAAACAAAAACCATTAGGCATTGGATGTCTGGGCCTTGTCTGGGCCATTCTCTGCTTTCCAGAAGGAGTCAGACTTCCTTTCCAATGTCAGATCATTCATGGGTCAGCAAATCAAAAATAAAGCTGCTCTCCTTCACATATTGCTAGATGTCTAGTGGATGCCATTTAGAATGAAACGAAACAAACACAAGAGCTATATTTCAGAATGCACTGTTTAGTAATCTGCAAGCTGTAAAATGTATTTTTAAAACCCCACAACAAATGCCTGAGATAAGTAAAAATGAACATATCTATGGCATTAAAATAAATATTTAGTTTGTGTCACATGCAAACCCCCACACACTACTTGATTAAAAATGTGGATAATTAAATTTTTTGTTTCAAGTTTAATCCTTTTTCTGCTCTAAACTTTACATGGTATTTCCAAAAGATTAATGACTTACGACAAAGCTCTGCCAAAAGTTCTGCAATACCAAAAACAAGTTTACTCAGGTTTGGAACACATTTGATAAGATTATAAGGCATGTAGCTTAGGTAAAGTCTGAAACAAAAATCAACATAAGCTCTGAGGTTCTCAGTTCACCTAGTATTACCTAAATTCCAGATTCCTGATTTCCTGTAGTGGATCTGTACCCTTCTAGAGACACCCATCACCATCAGATGTCCACTGTGCATGCTACAGAGTATCAGACATGTAGGACAGCAAATCAGCAGAGTCATCTGCTTAAACACCTGAGCTCTCTACAGTGACACTGTAGTGAAAAACACACTAGCTCTTGTGCTGCTGTTCTGAATATTTCCAGGTTCCTTCCCTGCAGTATGAATTCCTACCCCAGAAGTGAAGAATTCATCTGGAGCCAACTTGTAAAGCAGCCTGTGGTGATTGCAGTGTGGTGATGCTGTATTTAAACTATGGACCCTGGAACATAACACTACCTAGAAACCTATTTGCATATCATCAGAAGGTATCTCTGATGTATTGACAAAACACATTACTACATCATTCTCTAAAATATTTTTTGTCAGACAATTTTGCTATCCTTTCTCCTTAGGAACACAAATGTCACTTAAGTTAGCAGGACTTGTATATATGGACAGTCAATTTGCGAATTCTAGGCAATGCATGTGGTCCTATTTGTTTCAAGAATAGTAAAAACTGTTCTTGAAAACAACAACATAATGTTAAATATCTAGTTTCCTTGCTAAAAAGCCTCACTAAATAATCTTTCATATTATTAGTTAAAGCTTGGGACACATCTTACTAGGCAACATCTGAAATAATTTAAAAGATTATATTGCTAGGACCAAAAAGGAAAAATCTATCTGTGAATTTCAAGCTGAAGTAAATTCTACTTCTTTCATTCAGAAAGATGAAGGAAGTCACCATGTGAGATATAAATAGTACGTAACCCAGGACATATGACTGGCATTTTCAAGGCTGATGAATTGCAGAAGTATGTTTTTTCCTAGTTTTAGTAACCTAGAACACACTGAATACATAGAGGAGATGGTAGATAAAGGGGAACCACACTTTAAAAGTAATAACCTTGGCAAATATTCTCTCCCACAGTTACTCAGCAGCGATTATATATGTATTGTGTTATCTTTGACATGGCTGAATAATGATATGGACTAGATGCAGCTTGAGTTACTTACGTTTAATTGCACCTAGGTATAAAATATCTCCAAAAGTTATATCTGCCTATATGTCACTTATTTTAATTACTATCAATTCCCATTTATGCCAAATACTTACTTAGCAATACACAATATAAATATACTATATGAAAGCAGCTATAAATGTAGTCTGTGGAACACTTTAATCAGAACATGACATTTTTGTGTTTATTTCACAGATGCTGAGATCTTCGGTATTAAAACAAATTCAGCTTCCTCTTTTGTCCTTTAATGTAGTAGAAATTTGAAACCATACTCAGAACCCTCTCAAAACTGTCACAAGAGGGCCAAGGCCTTTTTGACTCTTGTGAACTCTTAGAAAAATCTGAATGCTACTGCTGAAAGTATAACAGGGCTGGGTGCCAAGATTTTACAGAGGGTCAGCTTAACTTGCAGTAACTGAGTTAGAAAATGTACCTTGGAATTACGACTGCAGTCCCATGTCCTGTGGTGAGGTTTTTCAGCACTATCTTTAACTAAGTAAAATGTAAATAAATAGTCACCTTGTAAAAGAAATTGGTGCGTCCAACAGATCCAATTTTTCCTGTGTGGTTCATGAAACAAATGTTTCCTTCAGTAGCACCATAGAACTCACAGATCTTAATAGCTCCAAATCTGTTTAAAAATTCCCTCCAAACATCATTTCTTACTCCATTTCCAACTGCTAGTCGGACTTTGTGATTTTTTTCTTCTTCCTTCTGTTAAAAAAAAAAATATCTAAAATATAATATATTGATAAGTGCATTTGATTATTGCATATGTTGTGGGGAAAGCATACCTTTTTTAAACACAGCAAGTACAAACAACAAAAAGAAAAGACAACAATCAAGAAGTTAAAGATGGCAAGGCTGATGTACAGCTACAATGTACCAAACTGCAATCAAAAACATTATCTTGTTGAACAAACAAATCATTTCCTGAATAATAGCTACAATAATTTATATAAATGCTTCCATATTTTAAAAGTTATATTGTCTCCATCTGTTTCTACCCAGAGGAATTAAAAAATTGGGAAGAACAGGGAATGGCAGAAGTTATTTCTGTCACTGGATTAAAGTCAGAAGAGATGAATAGCTACTTTCTTGTGTCTTCAGGCTGATTATGAAAACAATCAGATTTCACACACTTGTAATATCTGTTCCTTCCCACACATGGCGTATGAGTCATCTTCTGTATTTTTTTCAATATTAAGACTTGCAAAGTTTTGTTCAATGTTACTTGGAATACATTATTTCTTAGTGATCTTGAGTCTCTACTACTGTTAGCTCCAATGCTTATCACAACACACATTACAGTCTGTATCCAGTGCAGTAAGATGCTCTAACTTTATGAATACATTCCCAAACACTGAGATTTCATGGACCACCTTAAAAACACAATTAGATTTAAGCTGAAGTATCAGAAGGCAAAACATTTGAACTGTTGTTTTGGTTTGTTTGGTTCTTTTTTATTTCACCTAGTTTAAAACAAGGCTATTTTTAATCACTGTGAGTGCCAATACGAAATGTTCTATAAATGAGACAGCACAGAATAAATCTAGGTACAGTTTGTTACCACATACCTTTAGAACTACATAGCACTCTGGTACTGCAACACTGTATACACCTCTATTTATGTACACTTATATATGTGTATTAAATACCACTCTATATACAAATACACACATATGCACATATTCACACTCTTTATATTGGTACATTTGTATATATATATATACATATATATATATGTACACACACACACATACACATTCAAATATATATTATACTGAAAATCAGAGTCCCTATTTTCTATTTTTCTAGGGTTTCCCCCTCACAACTCTAATCCCAGTGTGAGTTAGTTATGTATTTACAGTAAAAATCCATTTTAGCACTTTTAGTCTCATATAAAAGCACAGCAAATTATTTCTGTGAAGATACCCGGTCAGCTGATCAAAACAGGAATCTTTGAAATATTTTATCTTTTAAATATGTTGAAAACAGTAAAGCTTCTACTGAGGACATTGACAGGAGTGCACCCCCAAGGTTTATTTCTTGGACAAACTAAATTTTACATAAGGATGTGAATTCTCACTTCTGTAACAAAACTGCAAGAACGGCAGAATTTAAAATTCCTCCTCTAAATCAGAAAGACCAACAAAGCTTTTTAATTCTTTCTTGAAAACCAGGAACTCATAGAAAGTTTTAAAAAAAATTGATTGAGCTTCAGAGGCTTCATTCTGCAAATTAAGTCCTCTTGCTGAAACAAGTCTGCAAGGAATGCACCTATTTCAATAGGTGCAGATAGCTTTTGGCAGATTACAATCTCAGGGATTACCCTGCAATTCCGTCTCAAAACAACATAACTCACCAGCCTCCTTCAGTCACTAACCATTCTGTTTTTACAACAACCCAGTTCTTCTTTTTTCCCTTCTCTTCTCCTATCTTAGTTTAGATGTGAAAGTAATTTCTAAACACAGAAGCACATACATCACTCTTCATACTAAATCATTATTAACAAGTGATGCATTACATATGTACAACAAAAATGAAATGGACATAGCCTGATGTAATTTTTGGAGTGGTTTGTTTTTTCAACTTCAGATACAATATCACAATGCAATAGTGTAGGTTTTCATAGGCTTGAAATAATGTTTATTATATTGCACATTGAAAGTCATTATGCTGTCAATGAACCACAAAAGGATTCCTATTTTTTAAGAGAAAGTGTTCCAGTGTTACTTTGAACAGAATCGGGAAAGCTTTTGACTCTTTTTTTCACTTCCAGAAAATTGCCTGCTATTCTTAGAATATTCCCATCAGCTCATCTTAAAACTTTTCAAAGTGGGTTATTTTTCTTACAGTTTCAATGCTAAACTGAAATGAACATATCCGTAACTGAACAGCAATTATCCCTTGCTGATGCCACTGAATTATTCAGATGTACTGCCTCTGCTAAGACATGAAAAATAGCTCAATGATTACTTTCAAGGCAATCTTTTGTTCCACAATTAACACAAGAGACAAATGTGTGTATATGTACATACAGTAACTAAGTGAGTCTTTCACCAGGCTAGGAACATTCAAAACCTCTAGAGACCAAGTTAATAAAAAGATGGATTTGCTTATATTATTTAAATTGTAAGAAAAATAAAAGCATTGGTAGCTGTTTGCAGAAGGACACAAACTAGGATGAACTAGAAAAGAGTGGCCTACATGGATTATTGGGTGGGGTTTTTTCCCAAAAGGACAAATACAGCATCATTTATAAGTGCAGTAATGTCAGTTCCCCATGTTACTTTGGCTGGTTTATACTAATGCAGCACAAAGTTGCTTCTATAGTGGAAAAAATGCAGAGTAAACCTGACAGGTCAACATCCTACTGTTCTTGCAATGTTAACATCTATCAACAACATTAACAATACAGTGCACGACTATCTCACTTTAGGAAAGGATGCTCCTATGGCATTTCGCCCTTTTGCAAAAAATACAAAGAAGGTATTGATGGCAACAAGGAATGATCACTAAATGCAAATTTTCTTAAAAAGGAGGGCAGTACTTAATTTCTACACAACCACAGGGAATTTTCTGTTAGATTGCATTGCTGCAACTGCTGTATTTGTGATTTAGTCAGCTCCACCGCAGTTGTACCTATCTGTTGATGAAAGACATCGTAAAGAGTATTGCCAGGCTTTCTGGGGAAGATATTAAAACTGTCATGCATTAAGTAAGCTTTCAGCTGTAAGAATGAAGGTTATAGGTCATTTAATCTCCCAGCAGATTTAACAAGTATGAAGAAAATTATTAAAACAAGGGAAATTTTTACCTACATTAGTTTAACATATGAGTAAATTAACACAGCTGTTTTACCTGTTTTTACCTCATTTTTTTATAACATATGACATTAATTCACGTGAGCCTTAAGTGTAACTAATTTTTGGTGGAAAGTGAACCACAGTAAATAAAACAACCATTTTAACATCTGTCATCTCTTTTTAACATCAAACATCTTCACATATATTGTTGCCCAGATCACTGCCAGAGTCCAACTCTAGGACAGACATGTTGGTATCTGTGGGCACTGTGGCTGAACACTTACACAGAAAGTAAAATGCTATAAGAGAAGGGAAGGAAAGGATGATAATTCCAAACAATTCTAGGCACATACTTGAGTGATGCACGCTTACGTGTCCTAAGGTATGACAAACATAAATACATCTAATATGCAGGAATTTATGCTTTGAACAGACTAGACCAAATGGTCATGCTTTGGATTTCTGCCATATTCAGATGGCATTTCATCAACTAGTTTCCCTTTGGTACAACAGATAGAAGTACAGGAATACCAGGAATTCCAAGAAGTCACCTAGTAAACATATCTTCTGGGAGATTAGCTCTGCTACCCTTGTGCCATTCTTGACACCTGAACAAGATGTGGCCTACCAGCCAGCAACCCTGCAACAGCTGGTATGCAGCAATTGTCCACAGGCATATTCTTAGCCTGCTGCAACAGCACAGAACCAAGCTAACACTCCCTACACTAAAAACTGTGTTTCCTCACAGTATTTCATTAGCGAGGGACTCAGTGCCTTGCTCTGGTCAGCTAACACAAATAAGTTCAAATAACATGTCCCCTGTGATATTTCAGTCATGCTCTCTGTTTCTGAATGTGATTAATAGTTCTCTACAGACAATGAGGATGACACATTTTAGAAGAACAGAATGTTGCAACGTCTTTCCAAGGTTTTAAAAAATGCCTATTTATTTTCCTGCACTGTGATTTTAATTTCTTACAGATTCTCAAGTAAAATGGGGGTTCAGTCTATATCCACTTATTTCTAAAAGTGTAACCAATTTTTTCAATTACTTTTTGCATTGAAATCAAAGGAAGAACTGATCTTACCATACACCTGGACTTTTCTTTCACTCATTCTGCGAAGATCTTTGAACTGTGTGCCAAACACTTGCATACGTCATAAATCAATTTCTGATGCACTATCTCCATTTTGCATCCCTGTCTCTTTTATATATTAATTAATTGACAAGTTGGGATCTGCCTTATTACATTAAATACCACATACCTGAGATCTTTCATCTGCCAATCTTTCCTCCTTAAGTGTTCTTTGTAAACTATGTGGACTATGCATGATTAAGCTGTTGATAAATGCCTTTTAAAGTGCCATGAACAGTATAGTACCTGGTGCAGGAAGAGTTCATGACTGCAGCAATATGAAAATGTGCTTAGCATCTGCTTTAAAAGAATACAATAAAACCGTTTCATTGTCCTACTTTTACTTTTTACTTTTATTTCTGCAGAAGGAAAAGCCAAAAGGAGAGAAGCAAAAACATTTTCAAGCAAAGGAGACATGAAATGTTCTCCATATCATGGCCCTGACAAAACTGAAAGCTATCTCAGAACCTGAGAAATGCAAACACCTGTGAAATATAGAATATGGTAAGACAGATGACACAGGATTTACATTCATGTGTTTACAGGGAATGCAGTTAACAGGACATTCACCAGTCCTCTATTGACACATTAGCCCTGAAAAGGGGGCATCAGGATGTTTACTAGACTATAGGATGGGAGATATCCTACTGCTATAGATGTAATAAATTCTTCAAGATGCACATTTAGGTTCACTTTTCAGTAATGCCTAATTCTAAACTGCAACTAGATTGTTTTAAGCAAGACACATACCAAAATTTAAAAATACAAG